ATAATATAATATAAAGTCAATATCAGTGTCCCCATGCTACCGATGGAACTGCGGCGAAATTCTACGATGTTCCATTGCGATATTTAAACGCTGACTGCAAGCGTATTCGGACAGTCAAGTACACAGCGAAGTGGAAGATACGGTGCGATACCTGAAGTGATCAAGTAAGGCGATAGACATTCAGACAGTGGAAGTTACAGTGCGGTACGCGAAGTGATTTAGTAAGGGGATAGACATTAAAATAATAGTGGACATTTTTAGTTGGAGTGTTTGTTGTATTTAAAGTGAAATAAAGTTAAGTTTGATTATTCAGTGTAGTCAATTATTGGTGAACCCACGGGTAAAAACTTAACAATACAAAGCATCAATCGGATTGCAGAATAATTGGTGAAATCAATATTCAACATACCTCTTCAGCAAGTTCCTTGCAGTACTCAATATCAAGCTCGTGTAACGTCTCGATGTGCTCGTTGACAAAAGCAATAGGAACAACAACAAACGTCTTCTTTCCTTGTTTGACATAACTCTTGATAGCCTCGTCAGTCATGGGCCCCAACCACGGCAAAGGCCCAACCTTCGACTGCCACACCAACTGGTAGGGTTGCGAGAAATTCAGTTCCTGCATCACCTGGTGGACGGTGGCTCCTACTTCTGATGGATAGGCATCTCCACGATTGACTGCCTGAATGAAAACTGAGTTGATTTTTGTTATGGAAACCATATTGATTACTTTATTGAGATTGTTTTCTTAACAAGCACTTTTACATATTACCAGATCTGCAATACTCTACTTGATGTGCGTTTCACCAACCAAGATGACGTCTTCAGGAGATGAAAAATAATGAAGGCGCCAACTCGGTTGGTGAAACGCGCTTCGAGAAGAGTATTTTAGTTCTGGTGATGGGAAAAGTGGCTGTTCTGGATTTATTCTACGCCAGAGGTTCCAGTTTTACCTTTAATTGAGGACTGTTTGTCCAACACTTTTGAGCAATTCTTTTTAAAAGACACTCCATGAAATTGTTTTTATTCAATTTTGTAACAAATGGGTATATTACAA